GCAATGGATTTCGTGGGAGGCATATTTACCTCTTGCATAATACCATTTATCTTATGACTTTGGAACTGTGCCAAGTCTTTCAGACTTCTGCTACTGTATTTACATGGTGAAGGAATGAATGTTATGAGATTATTGCCTGGGAAAACAGAAGAAGCTGAACAGGAAGAGAAGGAATACATAATATAATCTGTGTCATTCATTTCTCATAAAGCAACTTTGTTGAGAAGATATTGCTTATAGGAAACATTCACTGTCATACAAATCCCTTCTTAGTGTCCTGACATTTATTTTTTCCTGTAAATGGCTTCTTAATGGTCCATCTTAATGCCCATCTCAGTGTCAAATTCTTTACCACGGATGGTACTATAAATCACATTTTGTCTTCAATATTTATTCTTATAACTTCAGATCTTATAGCATAAGTGTCAATGCATTATTCCAAAAAAATGTAACAGAGGGCTGAGGAGATAGCTCAGACTGCAAATTGCTTCACCCACAAGCCTGAGTTTGATCTCTAACATCTGTGAGAACAACCAAGTGGTGGCCCCTGCTTGTAATTCTAGCACTGAGGAGGCAGAAGCAGGAGGATTCCTGGGTTCACTGGCCAGCCAACCAAGACTATTTGGTGACTTCCAAGCCAGTGGGAGATCCTAACACCCTTCCCTCAAAGGGGATTGCTCTTTAGCAACAATCACCAAGGTGGTCTTTTTTTCTACACAAATGTACACACACACAAAAACACACACACACATACACACACACACACACACACACACACACACACACACACACACTCACTCCCCACCCATAAACACACACATACAACTAAACTAGGTTCATTTTAAAACTAACACACAGCATAAAAATATTTAAAGCAATTATTTTAAAAATGCAAATTAAATTTATTTTTAACTAATACAGAGAAGTGAAATGGTACATGACTATGGGACATAATGTAATTTTTTGGTACAAATACATAGTGTGTGCAGTACATAGTAATTTAAACAGATAGTGCCTCAAACATCCATCATGTCTTTTCCATAAGTAATTATCATCTGAAAAAAGTAATGGCCTTCATGATGAAACTTGTATAAACATATGTCGTACATTGATCATGTTCACTTTGCCTTGTCTCTCTAGTGTCACACTTTTCTTTGCCCTACCTCAATCCCCAAGAGTTCCTCTTCTATTTTCAGGCCACTTTTAAAAAAATAGTTTCTGAATATTAGAGAGACCATTGGCTGTTTTATATTATATATTTGGATCATTAAGATTCCACCTGTAGCACATATTTTTCCTGCACACAGCAGTGTTTTCAAAGACAGAATAATAACCCATGCATATGTCCAGCTTCTCTTCTTTAACCATTCTTCTCCTGATGAGTATCTAGGCTGAAGATGTATTTTGGCTAGATAACGGTACAATAAGTACACTTATGCAAGTGGCTCTTGTATGATGACTTTCTTACTTTTGGATATATGTCTTGAAGTGCTATAGCTAGATCATACAGTAGTTTAGCAATTATTTTCTGTAATGGTTATGCAAGCTTACATTCCTAACAAGAGTATTAAGGGTTTCTTTTTCTGCATATCCTTACCACCATTTGTATCTATTAATAAATTTGATAATAGTCATCGAGTATGGTGAGATGAAGTTTTGATTTGCATTTCCTGATGGCTATGAACAGGAATAATTCCATATACATATATGTCATATATATTTCATTCAAGAATCCTTTTATTTGAGAAAGTATTACTGTATGGCCTAAGCTGGTCTCAAAGTTGCTGTGTGGCTCAGCCTGGCTTTGGATTAATAATCTTATTGCCTCAACCTCTGAGTTCTGGGATCACAGGTGTGTAATACAATGACTGCCTCTGTATTTCTTCCTTATGTTTATATTTTCATTGTTTTTAAGTTCATATATAAACAATGGACTTCATTGTGACATTTTCATATATACATATTCTTATATTTTGTACTTATGTGACATGAAATACAGTTAAATATGTATTTCCAGGTATAGGAGAAAACATGGTACTTTTTTGAGTCGCTTATTTTACTAAATACAATATTAGTGACTTCCATCCATTTTCTAATACATTAACTAATTTCTTGTTGATAAAGGAATAAAATTCTACTGTGCATATGTGTCATGCTTTCTTAGTTCACTCTTCTGTTGATAATTTGTTAATCTACAGGCTGCTCCATGTCTAGGCTACTCTGCAGAGTTCAACAACAAACATGAGCATACACATATCTCTGTGACCTCACTTAGAATCTCTTGAGTTTATACTGGAGAGTAGTATGGATGGATCATATGGTAGTTCTATTTTTTAAATATTGTGTGTGTGTGAGAGAAAGAGAGTGAGAGAGAGGCAGGCAGAGACAGAGAGAGGGAGAGAGAGACAGAGACACAGAGACTTACATAGTATATAACAATTCCTTTTCCCACATCCTTTCCAACATCTGTGGTCATTTATTTTCTTCATAATGGGAACCCAATATCATTTTAATTCCTGTTTCCCTAATGGCTAAGACTAGTGAATACATTTTTCTTTTTCTTACATAGTTGTTTGCAGTTTTTATTATTATGTCAAGATTACTTAATTCATTAATGTGTGGATTATCTGTTTTGTGGTTGTGTTTGTTTTGGTTTGTTTTTAGTTCATTGTAGATTGTAGATATCAATCCCTTGTCAGATGTATAGGGATCAGAATGACAGTGCACAAATTGTTTGAACTCTTCTATCTAATGAAAAATGAGAACAATAAAAGAATCTACTGTAACATATTGTGAACATTCACTATGTGTAAAATGCTTAGCATAACAATTGGTATAAAGGGATATTGACAGGAATATTGGTTATAATTGTTGTAGTGTTAATCAACCCAACTATGCAATAGCAGATTCTGAAATTAGGGAATTCTGAAATTAGGATTAGCAAGAGAACTAAAGTGCCACTGAGTCTTTGGGCTAAAGAGTTAGTGTTCTGCCATGACCTACCAACAACAAGGGAACCACTCAGATGTGACAATTTAACTCTATTTCCATTCTTGGAGGCATCCAGGACATCTTAAAATTATAATTCTTCATGCAATTTTAAGACATTCATGCTCTACCTTCATATACAATGGTGGAAATGTGTAATACTTCTTTTGTTATTTAAAATTCCATTTCATATGAAGTTCCACTTCATGATCCCTTGGGGTACTTGACAACATATATTAAAGATGGCAATTCAAAATACTTACTGATAAACATATTGAATGGATGAAACTAGGTTTCGCTTTTATACTTGAAGTTTAGCATTATTTACTTCTCACAAATATCCAAGTAAACTTGGAGTTAATTGTTCATAAGAAAATTTGTTAGAGTATGATGTAGTAAATACTAAACAAATCCTACATGACTATGCTTGAACACCTAGAGAGAACAAAATAATGAGTTGACCACTTGAGAATTGAAATGATCTTGGAGACTTAGTTGTTTTTGCCTCAAATGGAATCACTCAGTATCCACCATGGAAAAGAATGCTCCATGACACTTCAGAATCCACAATTGAATTTTTAGCATCTTCAGAGATTTATCCCCAAAGGAGGAAAAAGTAAAAAGATGACTACATAACCACCATAACTTTGACTTTTCACTGAAAGATGAATGAGTTCTCACTTCAAAAGGTAGGACTTTGACTTTTGGTAAAGAATCTGACTGCCTGGTTTTCATTTATCATCTTAGAAAAACTTGTATGTACTCAGTCAATCACAGTGCTAAAAGGGAAGGTGATGAGCCAACTTGTTTTGCTTGCTCTGTTTCAATCAGTAGATGAAGAAGTCATAATCAGAGTGTCAGGATCTCTGCTTATCTACCCATAACATATCAAGTCATACTTCTCAACATTATCCAAATGTGTTACTGTTAAAAGAGTTGATTGGCTTGGGGCATTTACTGATACTTAAGGATTCAAGTATAAGATTTAAAAGTTTTTAAAAGTTTGCATAAAGACTTACTTTGCTTAGAAAAACCTTACTATATTGTATGAATCTGCATGTATGTTGAAAACAATATTATTTCATGTTATAAAAGCACAATTAGAAACCTGTATTAGAGCAGGAAGTCATTTGGCTTGAATAAATCTGCTTTAGTTACATATTGGGTATTTAGTACATTTTTTTAGTGATTGCATATATATTCCAATTTATTTGGTAAAATATTTTAAAAATCTATAAACATTAAAATACATAATTTTATTTACAATTTAAAATTCCTGTCTACTAGTTGTGTGAATAATAATTTTTAATGCAGGGAACTCATACAATATCTATGAAAAACCTTAAAAACCAGACTTCCATCAATTTTTGGCATACAGGAATCCTAAGTTTTTATTATTTAGTTTTATCATTATGTAGGTGTTTAGTAGGAGGGTTTAGACAGATTGGGGACCTAATTCTGATTTTCTTGGCTGATATGTGCCACATTCAACTTAAAGAAACTCTTTCCAAGTTATTTAAACAGTATTTTATGAAATGTAATATTTTATATGAAACCAAGACATTTATGAAAATACTGCAATATCATAAATTACCAATTTTCATGTATGCATAAGTCTTAGATTATGGCTTGTTTTTATGATGCATTTAAAATATTAGGTGCTATCTGAGTATTTCCTACAAAACTCTATGCATTCACCTTTCGTAATATTCCCAGGATTTATTTGTTATTCTCACCTATCTTCTATTTTCACATTTTGCTTTGAAGTGTACTTAAAAAATATAACATGTAACAAAAAAGGTATGTTACTTAAGGGAAAGTTTTGAGGTGACTTTTCTAAAGAACTTTAAAATTATAGAGGGACTCACCCCTGCAGGCAAATAAATATGAATGCTTGGACATCTTTGAACTTGTATTGTATGTGTATAAAAGAAAGTGAAGCTACCCATTTATAACTCCCTGCCTGTAATATCCTCATCATAGCTCTGTTCTGGAAGCAGCTATACTGTCCCATGGCTTTGCTGGAGGATGGGAACCATACTGCAGTGACAGAATTCATTTTATTGGGCTTGACAGATGACCCAGTTCTCAGAGTCGTCCTCTTCACTATCATCATGTGCATCTACCTGGTGACTGTGTCTGGGAACCTCAGCACCATCCTCCTCATCAGAGTCTCTTCCCAGCTTCATCATCCCATGTACTTTTTTCTGAGTCACTTGGCTTCTGCTGACATAGGCTACTCATCTTCTGTCACACCCAATATGCTTGTCAACTTCCTGGTGGAGAGAAATACCATCTCCTACTTTGGATGTGGCATCCAGCTTGGCTCAGCTGTTTTCTTTGGGACAGTCGAATGTTTCCTTCTGGCTGCCATGGCTTATGATCGTTTTGTAGCAATCTGTAGCCCACTACTTTATTCAACAAAAATGTCCACAGAGGTTTGTGTACAGTTGCTTGTAGGATCTTATATTGGTGGCTTTCTTAATGCTTCCTCCTTCACCCTTTCCTTCTTTTCTTTTCTCTTCTGTGGACCAAATAGAATCAATCACTTTTTCTGTGATTTTACTCCTTTAGTTGAACTTTCCTGTTCTGATAACAGCATCCTCATAGTTCTAGATTCATTTTGTGCTGGCTCCATCATTTTGGTAACAGTGTTTGTCATAGCCATCTCCTACGTCTATATCCTTATCACTATTCTGAAGATGCACTCCACTGAGGGCCGCCACAAGGCCTTTTCTACCTGCACCTCTCACCTCACTGCAGTCACTCTTTTCTACGGCACCATCACATTCATTTATGTGATGCCCAAGTCCAGCTACTCAACAGACCAGAACAAGGTGGTGTCTGTGTTTTACATGGTGGTGATCCCTATGTTGAACCCCCTCATCTACAGCCTTAGGAATAATGAGATTAAAGGTGCTCTAAAGAGACAACTTGGTAGGAAAATGTTTTTTTAGAGACATGTTATTTTTAAAGACTTGATATAGTAATAATGCATAACTGATATAATATTAAAGAAAGTTCCTAAATGAAAAAGTTGATGGCATGTTAGCATGTAAGCATCTTTTCAATAAATATGAGGTTTCAAATTTCATATTACATAGAAAATTAGAAGTTTCTTTAATGAATATAAAATTAGTTTTAAAAATTAAGGCCGTAAACATAATGAGACAATATAAACTTCTGAAATAATTTTAAAGTTACATTGATATTTTTCAAAGATGGTTATCATTAGCTGTGTTCCAGATTGGATCTTAATTGTTCCCAAAGTCTCATGTTATTGGCAAAAGCTAGTTCTCTACTGTGGTGCTTGTGGAGAATTTTAGAAACATGTAGAAACTGAGACTAGTTGTGATATTTACTTTACTCAAGGTATGCCATAAACAAGATATGTCACTCAGAACTTTGTCTATCTTCTTTATTGGCCAGGAGGTGAGTGTCTTTGTTCAACCACCCATCCTTACCATGAGGTGAAAACACAGACCATATCAATGGCCTTCACTCACCATGCACTGAGACCTCTAGAACTCTGTTCCAGCAATAACCATTTTCTTTTTATAAGCTGATTATCTTAGCTATTTTTATAGTAACAGAAATCTGGTTAATACTGACCTCAATCATATTGGCTGTGTTTTTTCTTTTATGAGCAATAAGTTATCTTGAGATAAATCTGTGAAATATATCCATCCTATTGCATAATAAGAAGCAACAAGATGCTAAAATTCCTAGGAACATTGTAGAAAGGTTATCTATAAGGTTAGACTGTTTAGATCTGTGGTCCTGGCCTTTCTGGTCATAGTCTAATTGTGGAGTCTGCAAAGAAGAGTAGGGAATCCACCTCTAATTAATCTGTGAATTTTTATAGTAATAAGTAAATAATATAATAAATATATTTTCTATTTTTAAATTTTTATACATTGTAGTATGTATAATAATCATATCTATCCACTGCTATCTCCCTCTAACTTTACATAGTGCCCCCACTCAATTCACCTCAACTTCCTTCCTTCCTTTATTTATTTATAAATTTGAAATACTATGCTTTTACATGTCAATCACAATTCCCTCTCCCTCCCCTCTTCCCCTGCCACCCAACCCTATCCCATCCCCTTTCTGCTCCCCAGGGTGGGTGACACCTTCCATGGGGGATCTTCAAAGACTGTCATATCATTTGGAGCAGGATCTAGACCCTCCCCCATGTGTCTAGGCTGGGAGAGTATCGCTCTATGTGGATTGGGCTCCCAAAGTCCATTCCTGTACTAGGGATAAACACTGAATCACTACCAGATGCCCCATAGATTAACCAGACCTCCAAACTGACATCCTCATTCAGGGAGTACTGGAACAGTCTTGTGCTGGGTTCCTAGCTATCAGTCTGGGGTCTATGAGCAACCCCTTGTTCAGGTCGGCTGTTTCTGTCGCTTTCTCTAGCCTGGTCTTGACCCCTTTGTTCAACACTCCTCCCTCTCTGCAACTGGATTCCAGAGTTCAGCTCAGTGTTTAGCTGTGGGTCTGCTTCTGCTTCCATCAGCTACTGGATGAAGGCTATAGGATGGCATATAAGGTAGTCATCAATCTCATTGTGGGAGAAGGGCTTTGAAGGTAGACTCTCCCCTATTGCTTAGATTCGTAGTTGGGGACAACCTTGTGGATCTCTGGACATTTCCCTAGTGCCAGATTTCTCTTTAAACCTATAATAGCTCCCTCTATTATGGTATCTCTTATCTTGCTCTTCTCTATTCTTCCCCTGACTCAATCTTCCTGCTCCCTCATGCCCTCATCTCCTCTCCTCTTCTCTTTTTCCTAGCTCCCACTACTCTCTCCCCATGTTCCCAATTAGCTCAGGAGATCTTGTCCCTTTCCCCTTCTCTGGGGGACCATGTATGTCTCTCTTAGAGTCCTCCTTGTTTCCTCGCTTCTCTGGAAGTGTGGATTGCTGTCTGTTACTCCTTTGCTCTTTGTCTAAAATCCATATACTAGTGAGTACATACCATGTTTGTCTTTTTGTGGGATACATCACCCAGGATGGTTTCTTCTAGTTCCATTTGCCTGCGAATTTCAAGATTCCATAGTTTATTTCTGCTGAGAAGTACTCCATTTTGTAAATGTACCACATTTTCTTTATCCATTCTTCAGTTGAGGGGCATCTAGGTTGCATCCACTTTCTGGCTATTACAAATAATGCTGCGATGAACATGGTTGAACATATGTCCTTGTTGTATGAATGTGCATCTTTTGGGTATATGCCTAAGAGTGGAATTGCTGGATCTTGTGGTAGACTGATTTCCATTTTCCTGAGAAACCTCCATACTGATTTCCAAAGTGTCTGTATGAGTAGGCATTCCCACTAGCAGTGGAGGAGTGTTCTCCTTTCTTCACATCCTCTCCAGCATAAACCATCAATTCTGTATGAGTAGGCACTCCCACTAGCAGTGGAGGAGTGTTCTCCTTTCTTCACATCCTCTCCAGCATAAACCATCAATGGTGTTTTTTATTCTAGCCATTCTGACAGGAGTAAGATGGTATCTCAGAGTTATTTTGATTTGCATTTCCCTGATGGCTAAGGATGTTGAGCACTTTCGTATGTGTCTTTCAGCCATTTTAGATTCCTCCACTGAGAATTCTCTATTTAGTTCTGTACCCCATTTTTTAATTGGATTAGTTGATGTTCTGGTGACTAGCTTCTTGAGCTCTTTGTATATTATGGAAATCAGCCCCCTGTCTGATGTGGGGTTGGTGGATATATTTTTGGGTTTTGTGGGCTGCCATTTTGTTTTGTTGACTGTGTCTTATGCCTTAAAAAAGCATCTCAGTTTCTGGAGATCCCATTTATTAATTGTTGTTCTCAGTGTCTTTGCTACTGGTGTTATGTTCAGGAAGTGGTCTCCTGTACCAATTCGTTGGAGGGTACCACTTACTTTCTCTTCTAAGAGGCTCATAGTGGCTGGAATTATGTTGAGGTCTTTGATTCATGTGGACTTAAGTTTTGTGTATTGCAATAGATATGGATCTTTCTGAGGTCTTCTACATGCTGGAATCCAGTTATGCCAGCACCATTTGCTGAAGATGCTTTCTTTTTTCCATTGTATAATTTTAGCATATTTGTCAAAGATCAGGTGTTCATAGATGTGTGGGTAAATATCAGGGTTTTCAGTTGGATTCCATTGGTATATCTGTCTACTTTTCTGCCAATACCAAGCTGTTTTCAGAACTATGGCTCTATAATAGAGCTTAAAGTTTGAGCTGGTGAAGCCTCCAGAAGTTCATTTATTGTACAGGGTTGTTTTGGCTCTCCTGTGTTTATTGTTTTTCTATATAAAGTTGAGAATTGTTCTTTCAATGTCTGTGAAGAATTGTGCTGAGATATTGATGGAGATTGCATTGAATCTGTAGATTTCTTTTGGCAAGATTGCCATTTTTACTATTTTGATCCTACCTATCCAACAGCATGGGAGATCTTTCCATTTTCTGGTACCTTCTTTAATTTCTTTCTTTAAAGACTCAAAGTTCTTTCTATCCAGGTCCCTCACTTGTTTGTTTAGCGTTACCCCAAGTTATTTTATGTTGTTTGTGGCTATTGTAAAGAGTGATGTTTCTCTGACTTCTTTCTCAGCACATTTATCATCTGTATATAGCAGGGCTACTGAATTTTTGAGTTAATCTTTTATCCTGCCAATTTGCTGAGGGTCTTTATCAGCTGTATGTGTTCCCTGATAGAGTTTTTTCAGGTCACTTATGTAAACTATCATATCATCTGCAAATAGTGAAAGTTTGACTTCTTCTTATCCAATTTCCATCCCCTTGATCTCCTTTTGTTGTCTTATTGCTCTAGCAAGAACTTCAAGGACTATATTGAAGAGGTACTGAGAGTTGACAGCCTTGACTTGTTACTGATTTTAGAGGAATCATGTTGTTTCTCTCCATTTAGTTTGATGTTGGCTGTTGGCTTGCTGTATATTGCTTTTATTATGTTTATGTATGTTACTCTTATCCCTGATCTCTCCAAGACCTTAATCATGAAGGAGTGTTGAATTTTGCCAAAGGCTATTTCAGCATCTAGTGAGATGTTCATGTGATTTTTCTTTCTCTGTTTGTTTATATGTTGGATTACATTGATGGATTTTCATATGTTGGACAATCCCTGCATCACTGGAATGAATCCTGCTTGATTATTGTGGATGATTTTTCTGATGTTTTGTTGGATTCGATTTTCCAGTATTTTATTTAGTATTTTTGCATCAATGTTCATGAGGGATATTGGTCTGTAGTTCTCTTTCTTAGTTGTGTCTTTGTGTGCCTTGGGTATCAAAGTTATTGAAGCCTCATAAAAAGAGTTTGGCAATGATCCTTCTGCTTCTATTGTGTGTAATACTTTGAGGAGACTTGGTATTAGCTCTTCTTTGAATTTTTGGTAGAATTCTGCACTGAATCCATCTGGCACTGGACTTGTTTTGGTTGGGATACTTGATGACTTCTTCTATTTCTTTAGGGATTATAGGTCTATTTAAATTGCTTGTGTGTTTTTGATTTAATTTTGGTAAATGATATCTATCCAGAAAATTTTTTCATATAAAGTTGAGAATTATCCTTGCAAGGTCTGTGAAGAATTGTGCTGGGATTTTGATAGGGATTGCATTGAATCTGTAGATTGCTTTTGGTAAGATTGCCATTTTTACTATGTTGATCCTACCTATCTAAGAGCATGGGAGATCTTTCCATTTTCTGGTATCTCCTTTAATTTCTTTTTTTAATGACTCAAAGTTCTTGTCATACAGAAAATTGTCCATTTCCTTTAGATTTTTGAATTTTGAGGAGTACAGGTTTTCAAAGTATGACCTGAAGATTCTCTGGATTTCCTCAGTGTCCGTTGTTATGTCCCCCTTTTCATTTCTGATTTTGTTAATTTGCATATTTACTCTCTGCTGTTTGGTAAGTTTGTTGATTTTCTCAAAGAACC